AGAAAACCAGTGTCCCAAACAGTGGTATAGACAAATAATTTAATGTGTCAGAGTATAAAGTGAGCACAGAGCAACAGGCAGCCTCACGCAGAGTTTACCAAAGTAACCAAAGCAGTGCAGGACTGTTAAATTGCCTGACTGATACACTGACTGTACGTGACTGGCTGAGATGGCTGCTGCAGCCATCTCATCCAAGGTGATGTTGGAGTCAAGTGCAGTTGACTGTGCTTCCCACAGCTGAGGGGGTCTCATCAGGTCAGGTCGAATATGAGTCCCAACACCAAACAGTCTGGTGCACAGGTCTATAGTCAGGGTCATCATCATCAACTTTATTTATATAGCACGTTTAACACAGCCGAAGCTGACCAAAGTGCTTAACACAATATCACTAAAACCCGTTAAAACACAATAAAACAAGCAGAAGCAATAAACACAACAGTAAAACAGGATCACACTAAAACAACCACCCATCATAAAACACAAAAGCTCAACAAGACAGAGGCTCATACTGGTTCGAACGCCAAACGGTACAGATGAGCCTTCAAATAAGTTTTAAAAGTGGACAACGAGGGGGCCTGCCTAATGTAAAGGGGCAATGCATTCCACAACTTAGGAGCCCCCACAGAGAATGCTCTGTCCCCCCCAAATCTCCGCCTAGCCCTCTGTGTCTCCAAGAGCAGCTGATCAGCTGATCTGAGGCACCGAGAGGGGCTATAGGGATGCAGCAATTCTGTAAGATAAAGGGGGGCCAAACCATTTAAAGACTTAAAAACAAATAAAAGAATCTTAAAATGAATTCTAAAACACACCGGCAGCCAAAGTAGAGAAGCCAAAATGGGTGTGATATGGTCCCTTTTGCGCCCTCCAACCAGTAGACGAGCAGCAGCATTTTGGACTCTCTGAAGGCGGGCAAGGGAGGCCTGATTGAGCCCAAAATATAGCGCATTACAATAATCCAGACGAGATGTAATGAATGCATGTATTACCGACTCGAAATGCTGCCGCGAAAGAAAAGGCTTTACCTTTGCCAGCTGTCGGAGATGATAAAAACTGGCCTGTACAACCGTATTCACCTGATATTCCATTCTAAAATCAGAGTCTATTTTAGCACCCAGGTTTGTAATGGTTGACTGCACGTACCGTTCTAAGTAACCCAAATCAACTGGGGGAAGATCGCCAGAGTTATTTGAGCCAAACACTATAACTTCAGTTTTTGTGTCATTTAACTTTGCAATAAATTTAAAGCCATCCAGTTCCTAACGTCATCATGACAACATGACAGTAAAGGGTCAAACAAACCAGGGGCCTCCAAAGCCAGAAATGGAAGATAGAGACCAAGGCAGGCAGGTGCTGCCACGAGACCAAAAAAACAATAAAAATGAGACTTGCAGTTTTGTTGATTTCCTGAAAAGGAAAGTGTTAATATAATAGTACACATTCAAGCAGATTAGCCAGAAAGAGTCATGACACCAAGGTCATGTTTTTGAGAGAGAGAGAGAGAGAGAGAGAGACTGACTGACCCCACACTTACCATTCGTAGACTGACGCGCAACGTTGACCGAGAATATCCTGGACAAACATAAAATCGTTGTGGTGCAGCGGCCATCTAGGGGGAGAGCCAACCAGGTTAGAGAACAAGGAAGAGCTGCATACTTTTTGTAAATCTAGATGATGACCCAACGCTTAACAAACTGACAGACCGGTGGCCATCTTAAACTAACGGACAGTAAAATATCTTCATGAAAATGTAAGAATATGATGTGGCACGGCGGCCACGCTATAGGAGAAGCAACCAGGTTATAGAAGAAGGAAAAACCACATACCTTTTGTCCATCAACATCGCAGAAATTCTTCAAATGGCAACGAACAGCACAGGAGTAAGCGATAGGGACAGTCTGGCACTGCAGATAAAACTCCCAGGATAAAGATCCTAGGAGTTTTATGTGCCTGGCAGCCTAGATCTATTCCATTACACAAATCTATTCATAGATGGCCACATCAGATCGGACGACACATAAAAATCTAAATAGTCACGGCAGAGCAGTCATGTTGGAAAAGAGTTGAAAAGAGAGTTGGGCATGGAGGGCTGGCAAAAACACCTGAACTAAACACTGGAGATTAGATTTCACAGTAAACTCAGGACTTGAATACAGCCAGAGTAGTACAGTACTGCAACAAGACCCCTTTAATGAATAAACTAGTGCAGGCGCAAGGGCTGGGGGTCTGACAGGAGAACCCACAATAAAGTAAAAATAATCAACTTAGTTTGTAGATCTACCTGAAAAGAGAAAAAATAAATAAAATTAATGTCTACAGTGATTCCCTATATATGCAATTTGCTACAACACTAACTCTCAAACTCAACAACAGCAACAAACCAAGCTACTCTGCAAAGACAGATTGAAATAAATGCCACTAAAGAGAGACATCCTATCTCTAAACACACTCAACCCCGCAAAGTGATTCACATGGCAGAACGAACCAATCAGCTGATTCGCATGACCTCTGAGGCACCCAACTGCTTCGAACTTCACTCAAGTGCTTCAAACCACACCTGGGCACAATTGCTTCATGAGCTACAGCATATGTGTCGGAGCCTTGGGTGTCAGAGGATCATCACTACACACAGGTCTGCTTCGGTAGGTGAGCTTCTCATGGCACAGTAAAGTCATGGCACATTTTCCTTAACAACCAGCCTTTGTTTTTGATGAAGCTAACGAGCTAAACATGAAGCAGCAAAGCTGACATTAGCCTACAATACAGTGTGGCTGCATTAACTAACTTCCAGGCTGTCACTCACCTTTTTGGTCCCGTTTCCATGGTTCTTGTGAATCCAGATAGGTTCGGCCTGATGTCTTGTTTTTAGACGTTCTTTTAACTAAGACTTTTCTCCTAAGCACATAAACCGCAACATTCACTTCCGCAATGTGGCTGAGCTCCCACAAACAAGCTACTTGTGCAGCGACCTCACACACCTGTAGCAGGAGGAAGCAAACGACTATGAGTTAAATAGCCATTAATGCAAACAATTTTTCTTAAAGAAAAGCTCTGGGCCTTGTCGAACACTCCGAGCTTTGTGCTTTTCTTGTAAGTACTAGTGATGTGACGTCCCGTATCAAGGCTTCAAAGCGTGTGCCGAGTAGGGGAGGGGGCGTTTCCGCGATGCGCGTATCGAGGCTTGCGTCATTTAGGTGAGGAGCTGAAAATGATGACATCCGAAGCCTCGCTGCCCGGCTGTACCACATGACTGATTCAGGAAGTGGTTCGGATTTTGCCGCGAGTTTTGACAGCGATATAAACCCCTCAGGCTCCATTCAAAATGTCGGTGTTTGATGGAGAAAAAGAAATGCCACAGTGGAGAAACTGTTGTTTTTAAATAAAAACCAATGATGTGTCCCCTAAACCATAATCACTGGCCATACCTCAACGTTACAAAAGCACAATCATTGTCCATACCCCAACCCCAACCACCCTCACCTCACTGTAAATAATCATTTCCATTTTCATCATTTCCAAATAATCATTTTCCATACTGCCAGTATATATATATATATATACACAGTATACTGCCATCACTACAATATACATGTTTTGCATACTTCTTTATTTTGCTGACAGTTTTATTCACAGGCTTTCTGCAAAATGCCACACACTTCAAATTCATGCCAACTGATATTGTTGCATCCAGTAGATGTCCTACTAGAGCAAATGAAGCTTCAAGAAGCTTTGCACTGGAGTGAACCAATTGGATGAAAGGCTTCATTGCTTCATGAAGCTTCATCTGCCCATCACTAGTTGGCCCAAATGCAAGTTGAATGCAATTTCTAAACAACTTCCCTCAGTTTGTTTCTGCCTCCGAGTATGTTTGCTAATTGCCTGGCACCAAAACAAAGTATGTGAATCAAAATCCGACACTCGGACCAAGATTACAGCGACTGACAGTAAGACTTACTGTACTGGATGCCTGGCGAACTCAACAAACAACTGCTCCAGTTGCTCTCACAGTTCAAAAAGGCTTGTGGCCCCGCCCACCCCGCGCAGCCCTTATTGATGATTGGTCTGCGGGACCACCCATTGACCCACTTCCTATCCTGCCACCGATAATCAGGCTGTGTTTGTTTTGCGGTGCCGGTATGCTGGATGTTATGTAACACAAGCGCGGGGAAACCCCGTCTAATTAAGGGTACAAGCAGCTTAATCTTCATCAGCTGATAAGAGTATTTCCAGAAAACAGGCGATTCTTTCATATTAAGCAACTGGATGTCTCTGCTTTTGAACACAGAGCAAACAGCCTGTACCACTGAGTGAATACTGCCCCAAAGAGCCCAGACACCAGGACACAACCTTAATATCAAGTGTGAATTTATGGGTCTTATTTTATCCAGTCATCATTTTACACAGTCAAGCTCAGCATGATTCAGATGTCTTCTCTGCTGAGTTTCTGGTTCAAAATCTAAAGCTGTGGGCTGCTGAGAGGAGATGGTGTCCACATTGTCTGACCACAAACAGGCTGCTGTTCACTGCTCTGTCAGACTCTAGTAAGTTATTTGTTTCAGTCATTCTTTTTCATTAAAAATGGATTTGCAGTTGCAATATTAGCTGTTTCCATCTTGGCCAGTGGTGTTTGCCTTGATGGTTTTTGTCATATGATAGTAAAACTGAATAGGTGTGTTTGGTTGGATAAAACAGTCCTGAGAAGATCTCAGCAGTGGGGCTACTGGTGTGTAGAGGTCATGAAAATAGATTTTGGGGGCAAAGATATAAAATAAAAATGCCATTCCATAAAAAAAATTCCACATTTGTTCAGTATTTTCTTGTCATCAGCATTGCATCTCAGCCTTCAGCTGTTTCAGCATTGGATTTCAGCCTTTTCAGGGTGATTCTTCAGGAATCAGCATCCACATTTTCTTCAGGACATGCATTTGTCTAGTTTTATTTGTCTTTCTGTAATGATTACATTTAGTTGGAGAAATGGATACATTCTTCTAACATCTCTGCAGGTGTACGCTGAGCACATTGATCACTCACCGTGCTTTCCTAATTGCAAGATATTGCTACAGTTGATTGA